AGGAGACCCTACACCATTTCTGACAGATGGCAGTCCAATCTCTTCTTGAAAGCCTCCAGGGATGAAGCTCCCACAACTGCTGAATATCAGAATAATAACAGATTAACAGAGTTGGAAGGGACCTTGTAGGTCATCTAGTCCAGCCCCCTGCCTAAGCAGGAGACCCTACACCATTTCTGACAGAGGGCAGTCCAATCTCTTCTTGAAAGCCTCCAGGGATGAAGCTCCCACAACTTCTGAAGGCAACTTCTGTTCCATGGGTTGATTGTTCTCACTGTCCAAAAATTCCTCCTTATTTCCAGGTTGAATCTCTCCTTGATCAGTTTCCATCCATTATTCCTTGTCTGGCCTTCGGGTGCTTTGGAGAATAGCTTGACCCCCTTCCTCTCTGTTGGAACGGTTATATGTTATTTTATTGAGCCATAAGATCCAAAAGCTTTTCACCACTCTCCTCTGCCTTTAATCACAGTTAATTGTTTCATCCCATCAAAGAATTATAGTTGCTGTCCAAAAATTTAAGAAGTTCAATGTATGCATATTGTTTGTGCATTAGAACTTCAATTGTGTATGTTCACTATTAGAACAGAATTCATGACTGAAATGTGCTTTACAAGGATAAGTAAGACCCAATTTGATTAAAATCATAAAAGTGTGTGTTTTTCCTAGCAATTCAGTATTACCAGTTTTCCTTTCACTAAGAGGGAGATTTAAAGAAACAGAAGGATTTAAAACGGTGATAGAGTTTAACATTGTAGATCATCTTTGGGATCAGTGGTCAAGAAAAGCGTAGGGGGTAGGACAATTTTATAAAAATGATATTGACATAAAATATATTAAGCATCCACTATGCAGCGATGCAATCTGGCTTTAAATTTTGTACGTAATAGAACTCCCTATACTACTAGGCTCGAAATTCTTGGTTTGGATAACTTGGAACTGCATTGCATGCAGTCAGACTTAGGCATTGCATTCAAAATTGTACATAATAATGCTTTACCTGTAAATGACTTTTTTCTGTTTTAATCGCAATAATACGTGTGCGAATAACCGCTTTCAACTCAACGTAAATCGTTCTGAACTTGACTGTAAAAAATGCAATTTTTGTAATAGAGCTGTCAACGTCTGGCATGCTCTACCTGATCCAGTTGTCTCAGCTACATATTTTAACACTTTTAGTCACAAATTGACTTCCGTGGACCTCACTTCATACTTAAGAGGTCCGTAGAGGGGGCGTGCATAAGTGCACTAACGTTGTCCCTGTCATTGTATTTTTATATTATTCCTGTTTGCATTTCTGTTTGACAAATTACAATAAATAAATAAATGCTGTTGAAATTTTGTTGCTGTTTTTTAAAAAGGGGATTCTCTTAACTTTCCATTTTGTCTTTTTTTTTTTTAACTAGATTAAAAATGAAGACCATTCTCAGTAACCAAACAGTTGACATTCCTGAGAAAGGTAAGGATGTAACTCTCCTAAAACTCTTTTCTTAAAAAAAATAATAATAAATAAGCATCTGACTTATTATTTGGATATTTATGTTGTCTGAATATTTTACCGAAGCTATTTTTTTTTTCCTCTTTCCAGTCGACATTATCCTGAAGGGGCGGACAGTTACTGTCAAAGGTCCCAGAGGAATTTTGAAAAGGGACTTCAACCACATCAATGTGGAACTCTCTCTTTTGGGGAAAAAACGCAAGAAGGTGAGAATGTCTCGGTGTTACATCATTTTTCCAGATTTCCGATCACCTCTTAGATTGATTCCCAATTTATTGTGGTTGTGTGTCTAGAAGATGAGATTAGGAGATGTTGACTTGACTTGGTAGTGAGCAAAGTTGCGCTGTTTCAAATCCATGTGGGTCATTGTGTTGTCATAAATTCTGAAGACCTGAGATAGCTTTCATTGCATCTCAAATGCCAGCTGTTTTCCTGCTTGCTACTTGTTTTATGTATATTTTGTTTTGCGTAATGCTTCTGTGTTTTTCACAGACCACGATCCCCTCTGAGTGCCCAAATATTTCTACAGGTAGTCCTCGACTTAAACGACCACAATTGAGCCCAAAATTTCTGTGGCTAAGTGGAGACGTTTGTTAAGTGAGTTTTGTCCCATTTTACGACTTTCCTTGCCGCAGTCGTTCAGGGAATCACGGCGGTTGTTAAGTTGGTAACACAGTTGTTAAGTGAATCTGACTTTGCTTGTCAGATTCTAGGTGATAACGTCCCTAGGACACTGCAGTTGTCATAAACTCATGCCAGTTGGCACGTATGCCAATTTTTATCATAAAATCAGGGATAATAATAAGTGTGAAAAAATTGTCATAACTCTCTTTTCAATGCTGTTGTAATTTTGCATAATCACTAAACAAACTGTTTTAAGTCTAGGACTACCTGTATTATCTACCTATTCTACTAAGGTTTCTGAAACTATTGGCCGCCATCCTTCGTGCTGTGTATTTAACCCATCATAGCTCAAATATAAATCAAGTTTAGAGTTCCAGGTTGAACATCCAGACCTGAAATAGAAAAAGCTCCAGACACAATTTAGTGAAACCTGACATGTTCTGTGGACTTTTAGTGCATATGGAAATGGTATATCAATTAATCCTTTTTAGTGTATGATGGATGATTCCTGAACATTTCTTCCTAGGCATGCCTGTGATATTGATGGAATGGAATGGAAAAGAATGAAGAACAGAATAGAGTAGAGGTAGGGTAGGGTAGGGTAGAGGTAGAGTAGGGTAGGGTAGGGTAGAGTAGAGTAGAATAGAGTACGGTAGAGTAGATTAGAATAGGGTAAGGTAGAGTAGAGTAGAATAGAAAAAGAAAAAGAAACAGTTGGAAGATGCCTTGGAGGTGTGTGAACTGAGTGTGTAAATGTAACATTGGCAAATCGTTGGAAGCAATTGCTATAGTTGCAGTGGCTTGATAAGTCAATGCAGTGTCGGAAATTGCTGCCGTCCAACAGCTGGTTGAACTGATCTATACATTGCACATCTATTTGTGAGCTGTACAGCAGTCCTCTCGTTCTCGTGCGCAGTTTGGAGAAAGATGTGTTGTATTTTGTGAAGCCAAACCTTCGGTTTACTGAAATGGGTCGCGTTTTTTGCATGGTTGGGGCACGAGAGACGGTCTACAACTGGAAATCTTTTTGTTAACAAAACATACATTTGGGTGTGTGGATCAAAGTGACACTCAATCCAGGAAGGTACAGTTCTGGGGCGTGTTGGAGATATGGATTGTAGGGAACCACTCTGGCCTAGACCAGAGGTCCCCAGCCCCCCGGTCCGTGGACGGGCACCGGTCCGTGGCATGCCAGCATCGAGGCTGCACAAACAAGCGAAGCCCCATCCACAGGATGCAGGCAGCACACAAAACCACACTACCGGTCTCCATGGAATTGGTCTTTGGTGCCCAAAAGCTTGAGGGCTGCTGGCCTAGACTTCCAAATCAGAATTTGGTCAGTTGCAGCTTCGCTGTCAGAATTCAGTCAACAACAAAAGTTTACATTTTAGGAGATCTCTGTCAATCCCCTTTTGTTTCCACACAGTTTTATCTTTCTGCATAAGTTGAGAGTAGAGTCCACCCCGGATGTTTCTTTTAAGTAGCGGAAAGAACCTTTGGAAACTTATTTGGTTGAAATTGGAATAAAGATACATTATACAATCCTAAGAATAGTTTGGAATCTATTTGGTTGAAATTGGAATAAAGATACATTATACAATCCTAAGAATAGTTTGGAATCTATTTGGTTGAAATTGGAATAAAGATACATTATACAATCCTAAGAATAGTTTGGAAACTATTTGGTTGAAATTGGAATAAAGATACATTATACAATCCTAAGAATAGTTTGGAATCTATTTGGTTGAAATTGGAATAAAGATACATTATGCAATCCTAAGAATAGTTTGGAATCTATTTGGTTGAAATTGGAATAAAGATACATTATACAATCCTAAGAATAGTTTGGAAACTATTTGGTTGAAATTGGAATAAAGATACATTATGCAATCCTAAGAATAGTTTGGAAACTATTTGGTTGAAATTGGAATAAAGATACATTATGCAATCCTAAGAATAGTTTGGAATCTATTTGGTTGAAATTGGAATAAAGATACATTATACAATCCTAAGAATAGTTTGGAATCTATTTGGTTGAAATTGGAATAAAGATACATTATACAATCCTAAGAATAGTTTGGAAACTATTTGGTTGAAATTGGAATAAAGATACATTATGCAATCCTAAGAATAGTTTGGAATCTATTTGGTTGAAATTGGAATAAAGATACATTATGCAATCCTAAGAATAGTTTGGAAACTATTTGGTTGAAATTGGAATAAAGATACATTATGCAATCCTAAGAATAGTTTAGAGACTATTTGGTTGAAATTGGAATAAAGATACATTATACAATCCTAAGAATAGTTTGGAATCTATTTGGTTGAAATTGAATAAAGATACATTATGCAATCCTAAGAATAGTTTAGAGACTATTTGGTTGAAATTGGAATAAAGATACATTATACAATCCTAAGAATAGTTTGGAATCTATTTGGTTGAAATTGGAATAAAGATACATTATGCAATCCTAAGAATAGTTTTGTTAGGTACCGTTGAGTCAAATTTGATTCTTTGTGTGAGCTGTGTCATCTACAAGCTAATTATAATTACAGCTTCGTGTTATAATATCTTGGCTCGTTAGAAATATATAAAATAATTGCAGGCACAGAAAATTGTCAATTTAATGAAACGTTCCAGAATTGTAAACTTTTTCAGGGGGAAAAAAATGTTGACTGTACTTAACTGGAATTGCGATTAATTTTTCTGTTCTTTCAACCTTTTAGCTGCGTGTTGACAAATGGTGGGGTAACCGAAAGGAGCTGGCAACCGTTCGCACAATTTGCAGTCACGTGCAAAACATGATCAAGGGGTTTACCTTGGTAAGTTTCGTAAAACCGAGCTTTCAAACACAAAACGTTTGAACTAACCCTAACCCTTTCCAAATTCTACCAGCGCTATAGTGAAGATATACAACAACAGATTATCAGAGAAACATTCCACTTAGTATCAAAACGTGATGAAAATGTTTGTAATTTCTTAGAAGGAGGCTTATTAATAGGTGGATCTGACAACAAATTGATATATCGCCATTATGCTACATTGTACTTTGTTTTCTGCGTTGATTCTTCAGAAAGTGAACTTGGGATTCTAGATCTAATACAAGTTTTTGTAGAAACTTTAGACAAGTGTTTTGAGAATGTCTGTGAACTGGATTTAATTTTCCATGTGGATAAGGTTCATAATATCCTGGCTGAAATGGTGATGGGTGGAATGGTTTTGGAGACCAACATGAATGAAATAGTCACCCAAATTGATGCTCAAAATAAACTGGAAAAATCTGAGGCTGGTTTAGCAGGAGCCCCAGCCCGGGCTGTGTCAGCTGTAAAGAATATGAATCTTCCTGAGATCCCAAGAAATATTAATATTGGTGACATCAGTATAAAAGTGCCAAACTTGCCCTCTTTTAAATAATTTGTGCACTCCAGGTAAAAAATGAAAAATACTAGCTGCTCACAAATGTTTACCAAACCAATGTTTTGTTAATTGAATAAAAGATCAGCATACTCCATAGAAATCTTCTGCAGTAAAACTGTGAAATTGTGTTTTGCTTAGTAAATTTAAAAGAAGTGGTTCTTTTGTGAATTCTAAATAATATTTCAATGTCCTTTTAAAATATATCAAATGTAAAATATATAATTTTCTGGAAAAGAATTCAGAATATTTATTTACTTTGTATAACCTCTTTTTGTATAGAGTTTAGTCTTAAACTCTATACTGTAACTAGTACAACAATCCTAATCATATTTCTTCGTCTGATGTGTTGCATGACAACATTCAACTGTTGTATTTTCTTTTGCTTTTTGAATAAATTATCATGAATTGTATTGGAAAAAAAAAAATGAGCAGCTGCTCATTTCGGATAAACTAGTGCAATCCTTCGGAATGGCGATTTCTTCGGATTGATTGGCTTGTCTAATTTCAGGGCTTTCGTTATAAGATGAGGTCTGTGTACGCCCACTTCCCCATCAACGTCGTTATTCAAGAAAGTGGCTCCCTGGTCGAGATCCGTAACTTCCTTGGGGAGAAATACATCCGACGAGTGCGCATGAGGCAAGGTAAGGAGCTTGTCAACCTTCCACCTGAGTTAAAAGGGGAGAAGAGAAAGAATTCCAGTACTTTGTGCTCAAGATCAGTGTTTCTCGAACTGGATGGCTGGGGAATTCTGGGAGTTGAAGTCCACACATCTTAAAAGAGTGGCCAAGTTTGAAAATGACTACTTGAGATGAATCTCTTGAAATAGTCTGAAAAGTTGATAGATACTGATTTCATTAGTTTGACAAACAGGTTTTATTGTATGCCAGCCACAGACAGACAGACAGACAGACAGATGATAGAGATAGATAGATGATAGATAGATAGAGCTAGATAGATAGATAGATAGATAGATAGATAGATAGATAGATAGATATAATGATACAATCACAGATGGTACTTGTGTATTTTATATATAAAATAGAGAACTTAAGTTCATTTTGAATTGTCGAATACAAAAAGACGCAGTGTCGTTGTGTCCTTGTGATGCATACTTCTCGTAGATATTTTTGTAATGCTTATTCTGGGTTTACTAGGAAGGGGAAAGTATTCTTAGTTTTGAAAGGCAAAATATATTGAGTGCACTAATACTATATTTTTCTTAAATTAAAAATCATTTCTGTTGAATACTTTTTCATCTCTTTTTTTAGCGATAATCTTTTCTCAAATATTCTTTTGTCCTGCTTCAGGTGTTAATTGTGCAGTGTCGCAAGCTCAGAAGGATGAACTGATCCTTGAAGGAAATGACATTGAATTGGTATCTAACTCAGGTACGTCTTTATAGTATGTTTTGCCCCATTGCTAAGTTTGTAGTATGTCTTGCAAAGCGTTTAGAAACAGTTTGTTTAAATAAATTGAAGATCAGGGAAATTCTTTCTTGTATTGTTATGCTTAACAGGTTTTGCTAATGTTTCCATGCTATTTTTTTTCTACTGTTAACCCTGCTTCATTTGGCTTTGCCATCTAATTTGATTTTATTGTAGCCTTAGCTTTTGTTAAATCAGTTGTTAAATCTGGAGGGTGTAATTATTTGGTCATTCCAAACTAAATAGAGCCATCTTTGGTTTTTTTTTTTTTACAGCTGCCTTGATCCAGCAAGCCACAACTGTCAAGAATAAAGATATCAGAAAATTCTTGGATGGTATCTATGTCTCCGAGAAGGGAACAGTACAACAAGCCGATGAATAAAACCCAATAGTAAGTTAATGATATTCTTTTGTGTGTGTATGTGTGTAAGTCCATCTGCGCTACGTGAAACACAAATAAATAAAATGTCTTGGATTAAGTTTTGGCTGTTCAGAGCAGGGACAGTGGTACCAGTAAAGTGGCATAATTCAACTTTTCAGTGAATTTTCATTTCAACTCTTATCTCAGTCACTAACCCCTGAAATGCTATATGTTACTGGACCAATTCTGAGGATATTTGGATAACTTAGCAAGTAGAGATAGCTGTTCACCGAGTTGTAGCTTCCATTATAGCGGATATACGATGGATGACTGGTTAATAGTCTGGGATGGGAGAAAGTGATAAGTTTTTGTGGTGTGGTGTATAATAAGACACCCTACTAATCAAGCATTTCTGTAAATTACAATTTGGGAAATAGTCCTAAACAGTAGAGCCTCAGGTCACGACCATAATTCCTTCCATAACTTTGGTCGCAAACCGATTTGGTCGTGACCCGAACCTAATTTTGGAAATTTGGCGGTTACAAAAAAATGGCACGGAAGGGGAAATCGGCTGTGGGGAAAAAAAATTGTGAATTTTTTGATCGGAACCCAATTTGGTCGTGGTCAGAAGCGTTCGTGACCAGAGGTTCTACTGTATATCCCGTATGTTGGAACAGTGAAGTGTTGCTGGTAAAATTGCATTCACATTTTCTTCTTCACCCCATCCGAAAAGTGAATAATTGAGAAAGATTATTTCTCAATTTATTGGCTTTAGACAATGAGGAAAGCATCATTAAGGCCATTTGAATTTGACCTGCTTGTTATTTGAGGAGGTATAGTCCCAATGCTAAGAATAGTTAATCAACTGCCTGGATATGGATAGGGTTTAGATCTACTTTTATAGATAGATATAGGTTGATTCAGAATAATTTATTTTAATTTAATTTTGATTTATATGCCGCCCTTCTCCGGAGACTCAGGGCGGCTTACAATGCATTAAGCAATAGCCTTCATACTTTTGTATATTTTATACAAAGTCAGCTTATTGCCCCCACAAACCAGGTCCTCATTTTACCTACCTTAGAAAGGATGGAAGGCTGAGTCAACCTTGAGCCTGGTGAGAATTGAACTCGCAGCAATTGCAGGCAGCTGGAAGCTAAATATTACCTTTAACAGTAGCATTAGTCTGCTGCGCCACTCAGGCTAATAATAGAGCTGGAAGGTCTTAGTTAGTTTACTTTATTGTCATTGCACATTGTACAACGAAATTAAATGCCATCTTCAGTGTACATTATAACTATAAAAATAAAAACACAACCTTCACAATCTATATAATTGAAATTGAAAACCCGATATTGCATTAATATTGTACTATACCATAGAATTCAATATGGTTCCTGCCCTGTGATAGAAGCTGTTTTTCAGCCTATTTTCCTTGTTTTTATTATCCTGTACCGTCTGCCAGATGGTAATAGTTCAAAAAAAAAAAAAAAAAAAAGGATGAGATCCAGGATGATGGATTTTTAAGGATGTTTTGAACTTCCTTAAGGCAGCAGGAGCTATAAAGCTCTTCCAAAGAGGGGAGAGGGCAACCAATGATCCTCTGGGCAATGACGTTGACCCTGTGGAAGGCTGTCCTATCTGCCACTGTGCAATTGGCAAACCATACACAGGTGCAGTAAGTTAAAATACTCTCTATGGTGCAGCGGTAGAAGGTCACCAGCAGTTTTCCATTCAGTTGTTTTTTCCTGAGAAGTCTCAGGTAGTATAATCTCCGCTGGGCCCTTTTGACCAGTGCTGAAATGTGAGCGCCCCAGGTCAGGTCCTCTTCTTGTCCAACCCTCTGCTCAGGATGGAAACCCTATCCCATTTCAGATAAATGGTTGTCCAACATCTTCTTAAAAACTTCCAGTGTTGGAGCATTCACAACTTCTGGTGGCAAGCGGTTCCACTGATTAATTGTTCTAACTGTCAAGAAATTTCTCCTTAGTTCTAGGTTGCTTCTCTCCCTGATTAGTTTCCATCCATTGCTGCTTATGATGCCTTCAGATGCTTTGGAGAAGAGGTTGACCCCCCTCTTCTTTGTGGCGGCCCCCCAAACATCACCCCTAGTCCTTCTTTTCACTAGACTAGCCAAACCCATTTCTTGCAACAGTTCTTTATGTCAAGTGTGAAGATGAAGCTTTACTGAATTGAATTCAATTCAATTTATGATGACCATCGAAACATACCTTAATCGCTTTCTTGCCAATGGTTCTTTGTGATTGCTGCCCTTCCAGACTTTTTCACCTTTTCACTCTTGCCTATGGCCTCTTGATGGTTTTTTTTCCTATCCAATCACTGGCTATGTTCAGTTCTAATTGGCTTTTTGAGATTTGCCAAAGTTATAATGCCATTAACAATGATGTACATTAATGCCACAGTATGATTAACGTACATCATACTGTTTAAGGTGAAGTAAAGAAAGACTTGTCTCCCCTCATGACACAAAACAGTAAATTTTGATTTGCACCGGAGATTTGATTTAATTTAATTTAATTAATTCAATTTATATGCCGCCCCCCTCCGAAGACTCAGGACGGCTCACAATGATTGTTCAGCATTTGTAGTGATGAAGTGGATAAATTCTCCTGCCCTTTTTTACTTTTAAAATATTTCCTAAAATCTTTTAAAATGCAAGTATTTAAGAAATCTAGAATATCCAATAATCCCATCGGTCGATTTGTCTGCCGATATGTATTCACTTCACAGACTGATGCTATCAGGTGGTTTTTCATTTGCCTTTATTTAACAAAATGGAAAAAAATTAACTTATTTAATTTTACAATGGGGGGAAAAGAGCAAAAGGTAAAAACGTGCATATGTAAGAGCTGCAAATACATCTATAAAATATTACATCACAGTACTCTTTATCACATTAGCTTGAACATGTTTGTCAGAGAATGGAAGTAAGGTTATTTTCTTAGCATTCTGTTTCAATAATAATTTTTTTTTATGGTTTTAGGTCCTGAAATGGCAATCTGGGGACATAACACATCTAGCAGTTGGAAGTTTTCTATTTGAACTGAAGAGTCTCAGATTGTTTTGAGAAAATAAAACCATAAACTTTCAATATCCTGTATTTTGTGATTATGGAATAACTCAAGTTAATTTTGAGAATGGACTGCTCAGTTGCCCATTACAACACAAACATGGTAAGATAAATATCTTTGGGCTGAATTGTAAGCCTTCTCAAGTTTTTCATACACTTTAGGAGTTACATGTGAGAGTCTCGCACGATAAGACAGTGGAATAACGTTGTTTATCTTTCTTTAGTCCATGTGAAATCTGGAATTGGTTGGTTGAACTCAAGTCATGAGATAGTTCAAGTCTTTTTCCAAAACTTCACTTGTTTCTTATTTTGGAAACTGAATTAAAAGCTACAATCTCACCATTTAACTTCATTACCTGATGGGGGGGTGGGGGATAGGGACAAAATGGGAAGCGAGCATTAGTGATAGATATTATACATGCTGGTATTTGACCATCTTGGATTGCAAAAAATGAAAGTATATCATAAAAGTTCCATCTCTAAACCACAGCACACATACACACGTGGGGAGAATTATACTTGAGAAATGCGAAGACATTTCTTTAAAAGTGCACACTGCATTTTAAACTGAACAACCTGATTCTCTCAATATACCCAACAGAAACATTCGGTTGAATTCTAATTAAAATAATAAACGGACGTGCATACTTTTTAATAGTTCGCTTTCAGATGGAGATGTGCAGCAAGATGTCCAGTAGGTTAAATAGCTTTCGATTGGACGGTTGTATAATCTGTAGAGGCTGAAGAAACTGAATAAAGCTAATTGACTGGACACCAATTTTCTCTGTAGTAAGCAGCCAAAAATGTCTACCGTGGGGAACAAAAATGTAGTGGCTCTTGTGTCAGAATCCTGAATTTGGCATTCTGATTATAAGTTTTTTGCTGAACAATAATAAAGAGTATTTCCGCTAATTTTTCTGATCCTCGTTGATAAGCGGACAAAGAAAATGATTTCTATATCCGGCTCAGAACTTTCTTAGGTTTAGTTTCCACAGAAACGCCGAAGTGCTGGAAGTATTTTGACCAATCCCGCCTCCTTTTCTTCTGCTTCTGGAAAACAACAACGCTTAGGAGCATTATTAGGGTAGCCAAAAGGCAGCATCCGAGGAATATTAGAGGCTTTTCCTGAAGGACAAGTAGGCAGAACGTGCAGGACGTCGTTTCCGTTCGCTGCCCGCATTTCCTCGTGGGATCGACGGGGAAACCGTTGTTGCAGATCAGCTGATTGTAGAACTGGACGGAGGCTTTGGCTTGGAATTCGGAGGTAAAGAAGCCGATTTTGGGTTTGCCTACTTCATCCGTTAGCTTGAACCCAAAATAGCCTTTGAGGTTGACTTTGTCGATGTGGTACGCTGAAAAGGACAAGCAACCTTCAGGTTAATTCTTTATTTCTGTACGAACCGAAAAGCCATTCTATGGCATTTGGGGATTAAAAAATTGGATGTAAACTCATTTAAGCTCGTCCCCCCCCCCCCCAAAGGAACAGCCTTCCCTGGATTTCTGCAGTTTTTTTAAAAAAAGTATTTTGTTGGTATTACTAATAATACAATTAACATTTTTTTCTAGAAGCTTTCAAAGATGACCTCATTCGTTATGAGTTCTTGTCACACTACATAGATTACTTTGGGGCAGAAGCATTTCTGTCTCAAGAAGATTACTGCTTTATTTATGGTCTCTAAAAATAATTCTTACCGTCTCCCGCTTGTCATTTCATCATTTCTTCCTTCTCCTCGAATAATAGTTGCGTACAGATAATCCTCGATTTACAACAGTTTGTTTAATGACCGTTCAAAGTTCAATGAAGTTCAAAATTACAAAGGCTCTGAAAAAAAGTGACTTATGACCACTACAGCATCCCCATGGTCATGTCATCAAAATTCAAAAGCCTTGGCAACTGACTTGTTTAGGACAGTTGCAGTCATATGATCTCCTTTTGTGACCTGATAAGCAAAGTCAATGGGGAAGCCAGATTCGCTTAACAACTTAAGCGTTACTAACTTAACAACGGCAGTGATTCACTTAACAACTGTGGCAAGAAAAGGTGGTAAAATGGGGCTTTAGGACCTGAAGTGTAAAGAGCAGTCGAACATACTACTGTTGTGTGAAGCACACATGTGCGAACAAAGCCTTTGCTCCCGTTTTAGACCTTGTAGGAGGGAAGCCATGTTAATCTAGCAGCCAAAAATCGGGAGGCTGAATATTTTTTTGAATCTATTACAATTGAAGTCATTAACTGAATCCCAGAGGCAGGGATTCAGCCAGGGCCCTCAGAACCTCCAGAAGCTCCCTTAAGTGAAGAGGACGAAGAGGAGGAGCCTCTTCTCGATGCACAAGCGCGCTGAGCTGCGAAAAGGCAGGAGTGGCTCCTCAGGAGGAGGTCTCCTCGAGAGTAAGGCTTGGGGCTAATTGGCCACTCCCTTAGCCTATTTAAGGAGGAACACCGACTGAAGCAATTTGCAGGGAACAACTTGTTCACTCTCCTTCCTGCCTTGATCTTAGTTCTTTGCAAATTGCTTCTGGGCTTTCCGCCAATCATAGTAAGATTAAGATTATTTATTCTTTGGATTTTTATAGGCTAAGAAAGTTAATTAACAGCCTTTGTTTAGACAAAAAACCCTTATTTAATTTAGTAAACTAAGGTTTGTACAGACTTAGTGTGTGCTGCGTTCTTTGGGATCCGTAGCTGGGGCAGAACAGTACCCGTAATCTGTTTTGCATGTACCCATCCTCTCCATAATCCAGATGCTTTCTTTACAATAAGGCTATGCTTTTTTAATAAAAATGGGTCGGTCTGATAATTCTGCTAGCAGATCTCTTTGATTCCTTTTTTGATGTGATCTTTCTATGCTAAAAATGGGCATCCAGAAGTCTGTCATGCTACAAGAAAACCTAACAATATCATGCCAATCAATAAAAATAGGGTACCTCTCCTGCGTGTCTTTCCTCGAAGCAGTTTCATCCCTTCTGCGCAAAGCAAAAAACAATCCAGCAACCCTCTTTAAAGTTTGATATATAAATGAGCAGAACACTTTGGAATGATTGAGATGAGCGTCCGCCGCCTTCTACTCACCTTTAAAAGCTTCCTGCACGTACTTTTCGATGTAGTATTTACGGAGTTCATCGTTGTCACTAGATTGATCCTCAATCCCGCTAGCGGTGAGATAAATATCCATATCGCCGTAATGCCGATTGATCCAGTTCAGGGCTTTGCGTAACCCCCAAGGCACCACCGCGGAGCGAAAGGGGAAAATTAGGTAGCTTAAATCTTGCACGAGTTGAAAGTCCTGATCCAATTCATACCGGCTCCCGTTCTTCGACTCGTGGGCCACAAATCGAGTGGTGAAATGATTCACGGCGATGAAATCGGCAGCCCCTCTGACCAGCTGCTTCTCCTCTTCCGTGAAAAAAGGCAAAAATGAACTGGAAAGGCCTTGGCGGTTTTTGTAACCGAGGTATTTTCTCATGGCCTCTGGGTAGTCCCCCGTCTTCAGCAGGGGATCTAAAAACCAGGCCATTTCAAACTGGAGGAACCGATCGGCCGTTTCCCAATCGCTAGCGAGATACGGGTTAGCAGGTTCTGCCCAATCACAGTGCAGGGATAGAGACACCTGACCCTGCTGGAAAGACCGATACTGTTTCTCGTAGACCTGCCAAGCCGTGGCATGAGCGATCAGCAAATTGTGAGCTGCTTGGTAAGTGTTGTTGCTGCTGCTGTTGTAAATGTCGCCGAACCGATTCGGCTCGTTGATGGTGATCCAGAATTTAACCAGGTCTCCAAATTCCTGGAAGCACACTTCGGCGTACGTTCTAAACGCCCCGACGGTGGATTGATTCAACCATCCACCGTGTTGAAGCAAAGGATCTGGCAGGCTTAAGGACTGATGGGTCGGATAGTGTAAGGTGACCACGGGCTTCACGTTGAGTTTGAGTATCTCGCTAATCAGACATTGGTAATAGCGCAGGACGTGCCGGTTAAGGGACGACGTGTCGCCATTGGGGAGGAGCAGTGACCAATTGAAGGCGAATCTATAATGAGTGACTTTCATTTTTGATAGCAGTTGAAGGTGCGCTTTAATGCTGATGAAGTCCGTACACTGAACTGGCCGGTTTTTCAATTTCACTCCCTTCACCTGGTAAAATTTTCCATCTCCAGAGACGTTCCAGAGATACAGGTTAGGGTCAGAGAACTGAGGAGAAGAAGCGACGGATTCTGCCTGCGAACGAGAATGAAGATTAAGAAGGAATATTGATTTACATGGGTGGCTTTCCTCCTTCCCAATACATCTAGGAGGCTTTATTTTAGATTTAGGACATTGGCAACACCAGTTATAGCAGGGGTCCTCAAACTACGGGCTGTGGGCTGGATACGGTCTGCCGAAGCCATTAAGCTGGCCCACGCAGAACCACAAGGCTGCCCCGCCCACATCACCCCGGCCTTCTGGAGGCCGAGCAGGGCAAAAACGGGCCCATTTTTGGTCTCCAGAGAGGGAGACACACACACACACAAGTCTCTCATCTGCCCTCCCAAGGCAGCCACATCCTTTCACTAACCCGCTTTCCACCCCCATGAGCATAACATCGAAGTTTAATTTGTGTGTATTGTTTAATGGACTGCTAAATTGGCCATGCCCACCCAATCACATGCCCACCTAGCCACGGCCACCCAGCTGGTCCGCCCCCCCCCCCAAACAGTCTGAGGGACCGTGAATTTAACCCGCTTAAAATATTTGAGGACCCCTGAGTTATAGCATGATCTGAAGAGCATCTCAGTCTGTTCCTCTGATACAGGGTGGCTTCTAATAGGATGGTCAAAAGGTTTCTAAGGCAACCTCTGAAGCTACTGGTCCATCCCAACCCTTGTGGGAAGTCATGGATGAAGGTTAAGAGATCAGTACATCTAGACAAGGCCATATAAAAAAGACGAGCTGGGATATCAGTCTGCAAATGACATCCAGTTTTTCCTCCTCTCCCCATCCATCAGATGCCGGTGAAGATGGGAGGGCTTGTTCTGAATTAATGTTTAGACACAACAACATACTGCAGCACCAAGGACAAGAAATCAATATATCTAGGCAACGTCAAAAAGACGAATGGTATTCAACCTGTTTTGGAAAAGATTGCTTGGTCTTAAAAGAGAAACCATCTCGTTGCTTCACCAGAGTTACGTATTCTCAGCTTGCTAAGGCTGAGATGAGTTAGCAGGTTTCTCAGTCGAAGCTTCTCCCATCTCTTGGAACATATTTATGTGATAAGAATAATCTATAAAGTAAGAACGTTTTCTCCAGTGGCATTCCCGTGGCCCTCTGTTTAACGGCCCCAACCTAATACTGGTTTTACGGCTTGGGCATTTGAGGAATGCGTGTTTCAAATTACAATCTTCTGATTTATGTTCTACTCCTAATAGTACATTTTTTAAATTTTTATTTTGAGCAAAGCCCTTAAAATCTACGGTTTGGAACATCTACATTAATAAACGATCTGGATTTTAAAAAAAAACAAAAACCTTCAGATTTATAAAGGATAATTAACCTTTGAGGGATAAGAGGCATTCTGATGTTTAATATTTGCAACATTTGGGGAAACTAAATATGTTTTTAATTAATTTTATCGTCCCAAACTTCCTAACAGCGAGGACAATTAAGCAATGGAACAAAAAGTTGCCTTCAGAATCACTGGAGGATTTTAAGAAGAGGCTGGGCAGCCTCTTGTCTGAAATGGTCTAGACCAGGGGTCTGCAATCTTAAATACTCAAAGACCCATTTGGACCCGTTTCCCACAGAAAAGAAAACACCGGGAGCCACAAAACCCTTCCCGTGCCTGATTATTTCTTGAGCGGCCACAAAACTAGCATATGTAGTTGAATTAAGCGTTCTGTTTTCTTCTGAAACTTTTCTTTTCTTGGATTTATCCATGGGTGGCCTACTGGGGGTTGAAAAGCTCAATAAATCACGTGCCGGTGGGTGTCGCACATTGGCGGTTGTGGCGCATATTTTGAGTGACAGGGAGCCGCAGCAGAGGGGGTGAAAGAGCCACATGCGGCTCCAGAGCTGACTCCTGGTCTAGAAGACCTCCAAGGTCTCTTCCGGCTCTATTCTGATTGCAAGAGTTGGGATGCTTGCTTTAGTTTGCTTACCTTGACAACTGATTCTGTGACGCCCCAGGAGAAATCCCAAGGAAACTGGCCGTGCAAAGTCTGGGTTGATTCTTCGGCGGGAAAGCCGTTCTCCTGAATGATTTTCTTATAATAAAATGCAGATGATTTGGGGATCCGCTCCTTCTCTTCACTATCAAAATCTACGTAAAACAAACCTCGCCGGATGTTGAACACCTGTTCCCATTCGAATCCATCCAAGAGAGACCAAAACATATAACCAAAGACATCGACCCGATCATATTTAATAGCTGCGTAAGGCAAATAAAAACAATTGTCCAATTAACAAACCCAGGCTATGCCGTGCATTCATCGCAAATGCAAACCAGTAAGGAGAAGGGTTGGAAAGGATCTCTTTTAGCAACTGCCCGGTTTGTTCATTGAGTTCCAATCTAAGGAATTATTTTTTATTTTGGGTGGATAATTACTTCTTTTAAGACTAATCAGGTGGAGCCAGCAACAGGGCAGGTAAGGTCACATCAGTCTGGTCCATCTTATTACATTATCAATTTTCCCCCCTACTTCTGAAAAGTAACAAAGGCACGGATTACTTTTATCACCAAAGATCTGGACCAGTGGTTCTTAATTTTTTTTTTGCTGTCAGGACTCTTTCCCACTTTTTAAAAATTATAGAGGATCCCAAAACAGCTTTTGTTTACATACTGTAGGTTATATTTATCAATGTTTAGCACATCAAAAAAATCAAAATGGGAGCCTGAATAGCTCAACAGACAGAGCTCTGTAATTTGACACCAGCTGTCTGCAATTAAAGTAAGATCGAATCCCGCCAGGCTCAAGGTTGACTCAGCCTTCCATCCTTTCTAAGGTAGGTAAATTGAGGACCCAGTTTGTGGGGGCAATAAGCTGACTTTGTATAAATATACAAAAGGATGAAGGCTATTGCTGAGCACATTGTAAGCCGCCCTGAGTCTCCGGAGAAGGGTGGCATATAAATCAAATTTAAAAAAAAATGGACACATTTGTAGAACATTTATTGAATCGGATAAAAAAAGTATTAAAAACTATTCAATATGGACATAAATTTAAAAAAATACTTGCCGTGAAAAAAACCCCATATATATATCTAACGAATAATGAGGAGAAAATTATCTTCAGTGCCTGGCAAATAATTTTGATTCTGCAGACATCTGAGATGGTCTTGAGGGACCCTCGGTGATCCAAGGATTGTACTTTAAGCCACACTGATTTAGACCTAATTGCTTCCAATAGCTTTTAATTTAGCCAAGGAGCATGGATGCTCTCGCCTAATATATCATCAACCACTTGTCCCCAGATATTTCCTTCCAATGGCCTGGGAGGTTTCTCTTTAGGACTGCAATGGGAGAGAAGAAAACTTGCAAGCTTCCGTTGATTTACCTGTTGGCCACTTAGCTGATGCTTACCTGTAATACATTCTGCAAAGTTAGCTGCGGTCACGAACTTATTATGTGTCATGTGTACAGGTAGTCCTCGACTTGCGACCACTGTTGAGCCCAAAATTTCTATCGCTAAATGAACATGTTTGTTAAGTGAGTTTTGCCCCCATTTTACAACTTTTCTTGTCACCTTCACTAAGCGAGTCACTGCAGTCGTTAATAACACAGTTGTCCGGTGAATCTGGATTCTCCCCCATTGACTTGGCTCATCAGAAAGTTGCAAACTTGGGACACTGCAACCGTCATAAATAGGAGTCAGCTGCCAAGCGTCTGAATTTTGATTGTGTGACCACAAAGATGCTGCCATGCATCTGGGGTGAAAGCCAGCAGGTTCTGGAGAACCGGTAGCGGAAATTCTGAGTAGTTCAGAGAACTGGCAAATACCATCTCTGGCTGGCCCCAGAGTGGGGAGGGAATGGAGATTTTGCAATATCCTTCCCTCAGGAGTGGGGAGGGAATGGGGATTTTGCAGTATCCTTCCCCTGCCACGCCCACCAAGCCACACCACGCCCACCAAGCCACGCCCACAGAACCGGTAGTAAAAAAAAAACTGAATTTCACTACTGCTGCCATGTTAGTTAAGTGTGAAAAACGGTAATTAAGTCACTTTTTTCTGTGCTGCTGTAACTTTAAATAGTCTGTAAGTCGAGGACTACCTGTAATTGAGTCTATTTTGATTTCCCTCATTTAAACAACCCTCTTTCAACACAACTGGCCACTTTCAAATCCCCCCCCCCCACCTCCGACCCCCTTACGCACCTTGCAAAACGTTATTTATAAAGTTCTTCGTTAAGTAAATAGCCGTAGTATCTTCTGTTTTCACATCTTTGTCGGTGAACCACCCGTTTTCAGTGATCAAGATTCTGGGATTATCGTATTCCACTTTAATCCAGTTCAGAACGGCCCTCAGGTCGAGGGAGAAATTTTGTCCCGTTTTGGGCAGCTTGCTTAGAGGTTTAAAGTTATTTGGCCCGAAAGAAAAGGCAAAGAAATCGGCTGTCCCTTTAAAATGTTTTTTTTCCATTGGGGTGACATTTGGGAGGAGAGAGCCAAGTTCCATCTTCAGCTCTTCTGGGTAATCGCCATCTCCGTGTATTGGCTTCGCAAACCAACCTAGAACTTTCTGCATAGACAGCTGACATTTTTCAATATCTGATTTATTATTGATTCTGTTTGGTTCAAGCCAGTGAGATCCTAACGTGATTGACAAAAATCCCCTCTGTTGGGGTCGAAAATATTGGTCATAATTATGCCAAACTTTTGCATGAGCCTAAAAAGGAAGAAAAAAAAAACATTTGGAGTTTAAGTATATTATAGGTGTTAGTTGCAGTTTGTTTGTACAAATACATTTCTTAGATGCAAATGTTAAAATCCAAGTATTAATTATTGTTAATGATACAGTTGAGCTAACTTAAAGACAAATAGGTTTATTGTGATACAGGACTTTTTATAAGCTGGTATTCAGTTTACCAAGTTAATGACCTGAAAGCTCCGAGCATAATAAATCTGTTAGCTCATTCATGTGGAATTTATCGCTACAGAAAGATTTTATTGATCGGCAATTTCCGTGTGAGAGGTACATGTGTCCATGAAATAAGCTGCGTTCTTAGGAACAGAATCAGAAATTGGGAACAACTCTGGTAAATCAAGAATATACGGGGGTCACACACGGGAATTAATATATCTGCAGAGGATTAGTAATAAAGACTTCTAATGTCTAAAATGTAAAATGTCTTCAACTCAAGGTTGATCCTCAATGATTTCATGCATTCATCCGTGTTTGAGGGAGATGGGCAGTTTAGAAATACGGAATATAAATAAATACTTTTCTTGGCAACAATACAGAACTTGTTTGCCATTATATTCTTTGAGCCTGTTTACTCAACTTTACAATTTAGCCTACCTCACTATTAATTCTGTATGACCTTAACTTGTTGAGATTGGCTGTATGCTACCCCAAAATTTGGTTATAAAACCACTCTAACAATATGACACAATAACAATTTCAAAATTACTCACACCTCTGCATTCTAGTTAACCAGCATATCCAATGAGGACAGGCCTATGGAAATCGTTGGTATGTATGTGTATGTGTGTGTGTGTGTGTGTGTATGTATGTTTGTGTATATATATATATATATATATATATAATCTTGTTTCACAATCACAGAAAGACTAAGAATGCTTCTGAACAATAAATCTGTAATTACATGTAATGTGCACGTAATACACATTTGCTGGCTGTGAAGAGGGTAGCAAAATTCGAAATGGACATCTTATCTAGATCAAATGGGAAGGGTTGCTGTGCCCTCCATCGTTCAGTACATAATACATGACTTAATCCTAAATTGGTCACAAGGAAAATGTCAATCTTTCCTTTCCGTATCAGGGTTCCCTGATCTCTTGGGGCTAGTGGCTATTTTTGACTTTTAAGAACTTCAGTGTTCTCACAAAATGGCATTTGATACAGTTGGAGTGCACTAGATTGGTGTTTTGCAACAGTAAGATGTTGGACTTCAACTCCCAGAATGCATGCTAGCTGGGGAATTCTGGGAGTTGAAGTCCACGCAAATTTGCCAAGATTGAAAAAAGCCCTGCAACTACTAAAGGATGAATGCAAAATCCCAGGACTCTTCAACTTCTCTTCAACTTCTCTTTTTTAAAGGCGAAAGGAATATTTTCAAACAAAGTTCTGGGTTGCATTCCCCCCCCCGCCCCCCCACTTGAAAATTGTTCTTGGTTTTGCAGCACGCCAGGTTTCCCCATCTATTAATTTTTAATTAAAAGGAAATTAAAAAATAAATAAATTAAAAATCAAATGTAATGAGGAACACGGACACTTCATTTTCAGCACTTCAGGAGTCCAGGATTATGAAAGTGGAAGATTACTGAGGAACAGTGGCGCATAAAAAAAAAAAATGAAAAGCACTTCGGAACGGGCTGAAGGTTGATTATAAAGTTTTACGGTAAATTCGTTTGATTAATAGGAAGCAATTTGATGTCTTTCCCCCCCTGGGTCGGAGTCTCCAAACCTGGCAAATTTAAGTCTTGTGGACTTCAACTCCCAGAATCCCTCAGCCAGCCATTAAAAGTTGCCAAGTTTGGAGACCCCCTGCCCTAGACAAACGCACTGATGTGATTATTCGTGTGTTTGTCATTTTTTTTGCTTTAGATAAAGATGACTCCGTACGTAGAAAAGCAATACGATAGGAGCCCTCAACTCCAACATCCGTGACTCAGCAAGACAAGCCTATGTAAACATTTATTTTCAAAGCTTTATCGGCGTAATATATCTCCTCCTTCCCAAAGCAGGATGCTGCTCGGAAGGGAACTGGAACTGGGACAGCTGTCAGCCTTGAGAAAACATTTAAAAATGATAAAAGGTGGAAAAATACCACTATCAACCTTTGTAGTTTCTAGTCTGATCATCTTTTTTTCCCTCCAAGCATTTATCTAAGGCCTGGATGTCCACATTAACCTTTGAGATGGAGAATAACCCTGCTTCTGCCCACGGACAAGTGAATTACACCGCTCATTAAATGTAATAAGAGCTCTGCATCCAGGCTTTCTGAAAATAGCAGGGAGCACAAGTGCTTGGGGGTGTGGGGAGTGGCAAGAATAACTGGAAGGGAGGGGACCTTGGAGGTCTTCTAGTCCAACCCCCTGCTTAGGCAGGAAACCCTACACCACTTCAGACAAATGGTTATCCAACCTCTTCTTAAAAACTTCCAGTGTTGGAGCATTCACAACTTCTGGTGGCCAGTTGTTCCACTGATTAATTGTTCTAACTGTCAGGAAATTTCTCCTTAGTTCTAAGTTGCTTCTCTCCTTGATGAGTTTCCACCCATTGATTCTTGTCCTGCCCTCAGGTGCTTTGGAGAATAGCTTGACTGCCTCTTCTTTGTGGCAGCCCCTGAGATATTGGAACACTGCTATCATGTCTCCCCTGGTCCTTCTTTTCATTAAACTAGACATACCCAGTTCAGTGGTGGCTTCCTCCTGGTTCGGCCCGATTCGGCCAAGCTGGTAGCGGTGATGATATGACGTCACCGAACCGGTTCTCTTTGTTCGGGAGCTGCGCCCTCCCGCCCGCATTATTCTTACTTTTTATTTGGCCCCGCCCCCAATCTATTCGCTGCCTCCCAAGTCCCAGCTGATGGCTAGAAGGAAAAAAACCTGTTTAAACTCTTGCTGCTGGGCTTCAGCTGATCAGTATTAAAAGGCAGTGTGGTGGTAGACCAGTGCCTCCAAAAACAAATGGGTAGATCGGGACGCTCCAAAAACAAATGGGTAGACCGGTACAGTTCTGCAAGCAGTTAAAAGCCTGGTAGACCAGTACCTCTGCTAAATCCTAAAGAATTGTCACATGACCATCAAGCCATGCCCACAAAATAAGCCACGCCCACAGAACCGGTAGTAAAAAAACTTAGAACCCACCCCTGACCCAGTTCCTGCAACCGTTCTCCATATGTTTTAGCCTCCAGTCCCCCAATCATCTTTGTTGCTCTTCTCTGCACTCTTTCAAGAGTCTCAATATCGTTATATAAGTCTAAGTGTTATTGCTACTAATACAAAACACACCCACACACAAGACACCAAGAGTTGTCAGAAATCAAGAGAGAGAAGGTAGTAGGCACTCTTAACCACCTGGCCACTTTAAGATGTTGGACTTCAGCTCCCAGAATGCATTCTGGTTGGGGGAATTCTGGGAGTTGAAGTCAACCTAGTCTTCAGTCTTGGGTTGTGCTTCCATTCGGATTTTATAAGAGCCACTCCAAGCTGGTGCCTTTCAAAAATATTGCTACAATTCCCAATCTCGGGGGGTGGGGGGGCAACGTGAAGAATTCTGGGAGATGTGATACCAAAATAAATTCACCGCACAGCCCCTCCCACCTGAAATTGCTTCTTAATACATAATCAGTTTTGACACCTTGGTGACAAGGGAGACTGCTAAGTAAACAACGGAAATATAATCAATAAATTGCAATGTAGTCTTTATGCCGACGGCATTAATTTTTGCATAATCTGTTATGCTCAAATTCTGCTTACTCTTTTCTCAAAAAGCATGGTAGAATAGATGGCAATATTTCCTTGTCTAGGAAGACCTGACCTGCATTTATCCTCTGCTTTTCATGTATTTATACAGAAAGTCCTACTCCCACATACTAATATTTATTTTGAGATACGCATGCATACAGCTGTAGCCATAAAACCCTTTTCAAATACTGTCTAAGTGGAAGATGCCATGTAACTGTTAAGAGCTGTTGAGGGTTGATTAAGCCCAAGGAAAGACAAAAGTTTTATCTTGCCCCACCTTCGCTGTTGTGCAACAGAACCTGGGCTACTAACCAAGTCCTATATCTGAAACCAACTAAGCCAAGAATCTACTCAAGGGAATACCTTACTCCAAGCAGAAACCATGGAGCACATGCAAACTTCAATGGTTATAAGGTAATGTTTATCTGCATGATATTGTAAGCCATTCAAAAGAAGCACTCTTCCCTGAGAAAATGTATTCAGAGTAGGATAGAATAAAGAAGAGTAGAGTAGAGTAGAGTAGAGTAGAGTAGAGTAGAGTAGAGTAGAGTAGAGTAGAGTAGAGTAGAACAGAGTTGGAAGGGACCTTGGAGGTCTTCTAGTCCAACCCCTGCTTAGGCAGGAAACTCTACACCACTTCAGACAAATGGTTATCCAACATCTTCAAAATTTCCAGTGTTGGAGCATTCACAACTTCTGGAGGCAAGTTGTTCCACTGGTTAATTGTTCTCACTGTCAGGAAATTTCTCCTTAGTTCTAAGTTGCTTCTCTCCTTGATTAGTTTCCACCCATTGCTTCTTGTCCTCCCCTCAGGGTATTTTAAGCTCCTTCCTTCATCCTTCCTTCCACGGAGGGAGAGAAATAATAGGTGGGAAGACGAACGGAGTGGAGCGTCCAGAAGTTGGCTGAGAAACATCCAAACACAAGAGCTTTTCACACGTTGTGTTTGCCACGACCACTTCAAAGGCCTTCTGAGTTTTACTCGGCACCCAGTTATTTTGCCCTGGGTTAATCTGATCACTTCTGGCACCGGAATTCAATAGCAGGAGAACAATGACCATTCTACCCGCTTGGGTCTGATGTAGACTCAAAGGATGTACAAAGAAGCAAAGCAGGCCTACTCCGAAGACCCTTTTAGATTTGTTTAGCTGGCTCTGGCTCCTCCCAGAAAGATAAAGTCTACCAGACTTAGAGGTGGGTTTTGCTGATCCATCCATCAACTCCAAACTTTATTGCTTCGTGGGAAATGTTTAGTGAGCAAGAATCTTAAGAAGTGAGTATTTGCCCTACAAGGTCTTCATAATCCTTGACATTTCTGCGTAGAGTTTCTTCCATATCTTGGGATAAGATAAAGGTAAATCATTCATCCATCTGAAGGCCTCTAGCCAGATGAAGTAATGCCTCAATGTTACTGCAGACACGGTGATCGTTTTCCTAATTCAGTTACCGGCAAAATCTAGTAGTTGAGAAAATGGGATGCTAACTAATGGACTCCATTCTATTTGCGTAAGAGACATCTCTCAATAGCTGACATGATACCAAGCTATGATGTGTCTTATTTGTGATGTGCTGAATAAACCAATTATAGATCAAGTTCACACAACATGCTGAACTACCAACCATGGTTATATTCACAACACGACGCTCAGCTGTTTTCTTTCCCTAAGTGCTTTTAGGTATTTAGGTCACTTCTGTTGGGGGAATTTGTCCTGAGGAAAGATTGATATTTAATCGGCTGATAACAACATAAGGAATGGAATAGACCAGTACTGAAGGTCCATCTAATTCAATAACCTGTGACTCCCAATATCCAGTTGGACACCGCTGCTAGAACCACATGTCATCCATGGAAGCAAAAGTCCCCTTTGGCTTCTGTTCCCCAGCAACTGGCATTCAGGGATTACGAACGATGCATTTATTTAATTCCCATTTGGAGCTAAGTTAGTGAGTTTTCCCACATCTTGCGTTTAGATGATCACATCACCATTTTGCTAGCTGGGAGAACTCCTAGAAATGCTGAGTTATCAGACCAATGTTGTCCCAGGACTCTTAGAACACAGTAAGATAGGATAAAGCATCACCGAGAAACACTTCTTCACAAATACTGTTTAATCATTTATTTTAGTTTGGGTTAGGTCTAGAGCACCTTAGTTAAGAAGAACAAGGCTTGGAAGCATTGCATGCCAATGATCTACCTGGACAAGAAATCAACGTTGTCTAAGAGAAAAGATGAAGGGAAGGGAGGGGGAGGGGAGGGGAGGGGAAGGAAAGGGAGGGAAAGGGAAAAGATGATTTCTGATGCTACAAGGAACCTCAATGTGGAAGCTGTCAAGAAGACGGAAGTTGTTCCCATTGCCTTCTTCTCCAACTATAAATCATTGTTTAGGCTCAGTGGCTAAGATGCTGAGCTTGTTGATCGAAAGGTCGGCAGTTCAGCGGTTCGAATCCCTAGTGCCGCGTAACGGGGTGAGCTCCCGTTACTTGTCCCAGCTTCTGCCAACCTAGCAGTTCGAAAGCAGGTAAAAAATGCAAGTAGAAAAATAGGGACCACCTTTGGTGGGAAGGGAACAATGTTCCGTGCACCTTTGTTGTTGAGCCATGCCGACCACATGACCACGGAGACGTCTTCAGACAGCGCTGGCTCTTCCGTTTGAAACAGAGATGAGTACCGCCCCCTAGAGTCGGGAACGACTAGCACGTATGTGCGAGGGGAACCTTTACCTTTACCTTTAGGTAATATCTCTGAGACAATGACCCAATGGGGTACACATTATCTAGTATCTTTTTAACAAATACCAGTATGGGGGTTAAACTAACAAAGCGTACCATCTCTACATGGGAAGGAATTCTTATTAGACTTGTCCACATAATTAACAACCAGACAATCTGGAAGCGATTTCCCCATTGCTGCTTTCTGGGGGGGGGGTTTCCTTGGACTTGAAACACCCCCTCCCACCCCCAGATCTTGTTTAAGAAGGAAGAATTTTCTGGAAGCCTCCCATTCAAGTGCTAAGTAGGATACGCAGGCTCGAACCTGCTTCTTTCGAAACCACCCAGAGGAAAGTCGGCGAGGCGCAACCAAGTCAGACGCTCAGGAAAAGTCCAAGTGATGTTGGCAAAACAATTTTTATCTGATTTTGATCACCTGTTGGCAGGTAGGGAGAATCTCAGCAACCACCTTCACATGGAATTCGAAAAGGCAAAGGGTAAAGTCTTTGTTGACTGCAATCTAGGAGAAGTCATGAACCAAACACGAATACTCTGTTTTCTTTTCAGATCGTATAAATAAATTAAAATATTCTTCAAAAATACAGAAGTGGCTTGCTGCTGCCTTCTTCGAGGATTTAACTTCCAAATGTAATCTACAGCCCTGAGAATCTCTGGGGGTCTCCCATCCATGTTTGAGCATGCTTAGCTTTTTCAAGAACCATCTAAAATGGGTAGGCGCTGCCCCATGCACAGAGAGAGAGAGAGAGGGAGTGGGAGATAAAGAGTGCCACGAATGCATGTTTTAATTAAATTGTTTTAAATTAAACAATTTAAACTGAAGTGTTTTAATTTCCACTTGGCCACCGAGTCATTTTCAGAATCAACACCTCTGCGTTTCCTGTGGCAGCTGTTCCATTCTTTCTCCACGTTGAATATATTTCTAGGGACGGTTCCTGGAATTTTCCATCACCTGGACAACAGGTAATTTCTTTTTTTAATCCTTCACATCAATATGAGAGAAAAATGGGTCTCTAAATAGACAGGCTGGCTTTTGTTAATCTTCGAGAGCATGTTGTTGTTTTCAAAGGGCGATTTAAAGGCTAAAGGAGAATGAAATTACCGTGTTTTAGACTTCTTTCAAGATTCTCCTCCAGTCAACGTTTTATCAGTGTGACTTGTCTCCAGCATCATCAGCACTTTTGTTCCACAGTCCAAACTACCAAACTTATGTGGGGGAAAAAAATAAATACAGGTAATCCTTGATTTACGACCAGGGATGAAATCAGCGGGTTCTGACAGGTTCTGGAGATTTTGAGTAGTTCAGAGAACCAACAAATACCACCTCTGGCTGGTCCCAGAGTGGGGAGGGAATGTGGATTTTGCAGTTTCCTTCCCCTAGAATAGGGTGGGAATGGAGATTTTGCAGTATCCTTTCCCTGCCATGCCCACCAAGCCACGCCCACCAAGCCACACCACACCCACCAAGCCACGCCCATAGAACCGGTACTAAAATAAATTGAATTTCACCACTTCTTACGACTACAACTGAGCCCAAAATTTCTGTCGTGAAGTGAGGTCTGCCCCATTTCACGACCTTTCTTGCCACAGTTGTTAAGCGAATCACCGTGGTTGATAAAGTTAGCAACCTGGTTGTTAAGCGAATCGTGCTTCCCCACGGACTTCGCCTTTCAGAAGGTCGCAAAAGGGGGATTGCGTGACCCCGGGGACGCTGCAACCATCATAAATATGAGTCAGTTGCCAAGCGTCTGAATTGTGATCACATGAGCATGGGGACGCCGCAACGGTCCTAAGTGTGAGAAATGGTCAGAAGTCACTTTGTTCAGTGCCGCTGTAACTTTGAACGGTCACTAAGCAAACTGTTGTAAGCCGAGAACTGCCTGTATAACAGTTTCAGTTGTGATGTTGAGGGCTCCTCCAGAAATGTACACATTTATATTCTTCCACCAGAGGTCTAATTTTGGTGAAGTGTGTAAGGTTCTGCAGTCATGACATAAGCCTAAGATTTTATTTATTTATTTATTTATTTATAAAACTCAACAGCACTTTTTCATGCGGCTGTTGATAAAAATAGGATTGCCAACCTGATCGCCAATGTCCGATGACGGATAAGGTACAAGAAGTAGTAGTACAAGGTAAACAATGAGCCATTTTGACCTTCACACCCAAAGATCTTCCTTCAGATCTAAAACCTACTAGGTTTTGAATGGGCTTCATGTAGGAGGTCTAACTGCATTGCCCAACTTTGCAATATCTCCATGGCTATTCTTTCCCTTCTAAGGCACTAAGCTACCTAGGGAAGTGTAATTATAAGTGTCAAAAAGAGTTTAGATCGGATTGGAAGCAATATTACCTGCAGTAAAAACTACCGTGAAAATAATTAAAATTATTGCACCTCTGTTCACGTGTAATGCCCTGCCAGTGTGATGACGCCAAATGTCCACTCTAATAGGCAGCAGAGGGATCTCAAAAAATGCAGGGTTTGATACAATCTTTGAATTAGCTTTCTGATTTTATAAACATTAGTTCAGGCACAGACTTTCAGGAACACGATTTAAGTGAGCGAATGAATCTTTCCTTCTTTCCCAGACGGAAGAAATGCCTGAAGGAAGAACAAGCTTGATGTCATATTGACGTTCTTGAAATATTGACGTGTTTATCTTGAAACAAAAAGGATGTGTGAGATCAGCACAGCGGGCATAATCTGGAATTAGACGTTATCATCCCAGAATTATGTACCATATATATAATTCCTTCCTTTAGCTTGAATTCTAGAGCCATCAGCTATGTTTTGGGGGCTCGTCTCAACATTTCTAGAACTTGGGTTAAGGAAGGACAAACTAAAAAGAAAGCTTTTTAGTAGACAAACAAGATTTGTCAAGGGATGAATTCAAATTAAAATATAATACTGTTAAAATCAATTCATGATTAATTCATGGCTTTATGGTAAAATTGATGGTGCAATTAAGACCAGCCAAGAGAGCAGATTTATTTCCTCCAAGAAATATAGAGAAATTATTGCAAGAAAGCAAGAAATATGTTTCATGCGCAAAGCCTGCATAGAAGCATTATTTGTCCTCTTCCCACTGTCCTCTTTCCTTCTTATACCTTCCTTTTCTGCTATGATTTACTGTAACTTTCTTTCTTACGACAAAACCTCTCCCTGCCATACCTTGATCAGGTTATGTCCTACCACGTAGGCGGCACCTTCACGCCTCTCTCCGGGTGCATGAAGTCCCGTGCCGTATCCGTGCCAAGCAATGAGATAAGGGTTGTGCATTGTAATCCAGTACTTCACACGATCTCCGAAGGCTTGGAAGCAAAAAGTGGCGTAATCGTTGAAAAGGTCCACGAGGGAGTCGTTTTCCCAGCCTCCGTATCTTTCGTGCAATTCCCATGGCAATTCCCAGTGGTAGAGAGTGATGATGGGCTCGATGCCTCTGTGGACGAGAGCATCTAAGAGACGATTGTAGTAGTGGAGTCCTTTCTCATTGACGGCTGTCACCATCCCGGTAGGAAAGAGCCTTGGCCACGAAATGGAAAAGCGGTACGAAGAAACCCTCAAAAAACTCAGAGCAGCTAAATCTTTTTCCAGAAACGTGTAGCTGTCACCCCAGTCCTCCGTCCTGTAAGCGTGCCTGAAGTTGGAATGGAGGAAGTGGTCCCATATCGAAGGACCTCTCCCATCCTCCTGCCGACTCCCCTCCACCTGGAATGCACTGGTTCCCACTCCCCAGAGGAAATGGGGAGGGAACGTGTCATACAGAAACAGCAGAGTTTCGTTCACAGGACTTAAGTGGGGATCCTTTTCCCACACAGAAATTCCCTCCCTGCGAAATCCGGAAACAGACTGTATAAAAACTAAAGCCCATAAACCTATGGGACACTTCAGATGCCAGCCAGCCATTCTATACCTGCGGAGGAGATGCTAAAAGTCACATTTCTTTTTAAAGGCTGCCAAAAATTGATTCCTGGATTGCTGCTGCATACCTTGTCTCGTTCGCTCCTGGGTCCCTGGAGTGTCTTATCAAAGCTTCGGTTAAAAAAAAAAAAAAAGCTTGTGATTCCAGAAGTCCTGTTAATAATTAGCCTGAAATTACAGGACTTTAGGATCTGTCATGAGAGGCAAGGCAACCTCTGTTTGCTCTGCTTCTTATGGCCGCTGGGGAACGCTGGTGGGGTATCTGATCCTGAACGCCTTCCCAATTTATAGCCGCTTCTGAAGCTGTGAATCAGAGCTTCAGCTTGTCAGTGGATGCTAACTGCTGATTTGATTATGTTTAAAGGGAATAGAAAGTAATTGTATTTGAGACACAATGGCCTCAAGTAAGGAATCAGATGCCACTTTTTAACCTACGCTCAGCCAGAGAAAAGGGCAGAGCGAAAGCTGCAACAATAAAAAAAAAAAAAACTCTTCAGCTCTTGAGGTTCATAATGTACAAGTTTTTGTCAGAAAGCTGTTCGAGGTTGAAATGTTTGTGACCTTGGCAACATCTAGACAAAAGCAGATGGGTTTTGGTATCGTCAGGATGCTGTAAATTGGCTTGAATGTATGCATGCACCCCAAAACAAGTTGCTGCTCATTTATTTTCCCCTGGTCTTCAGACGAAGCAGAAAAATTGTTCGTTTAAATCTGGCATGGGGCAAATCCTTGGACATTTTCTCTGATTTGTAAGCGACGTTACTGTTTTTTGGGATATACATTTATTCATTTGTCAAATATATGATAGAGCCAGTTTGGTGTGGTAGCTAAGGTGCCATCTTAAAAACCAGAAGAATGTGAGTTTTAATCCTTCCTTAACCACGAAAGTCAGTTAGGTGACTTTGGGCCAGTCACTCATTCTTAGCCTGACCCACCTCACTGGGTTGTAGTGGGGGAAAATAGGAGAGAAAGGAGTATTATGTGCATTCATCACCTTGAGTTACTTATAAAGTAATACAAGTGGGATTAAAAATCTAATAAAAAATATATATATAAAGCTTGCCTGACTCGTGAAGAATCTGGGCGATGTATAACGTTAAAAACAACAGGAAATTACAGGAAACAACTCCACAGATTACAAACTGAAACTATAAACAGAGAAGTGACAACTTTGCTTGTTTGTTATTCTGTAAAATTAATTCCAGAAAGATGGGTCTCTGCTAAAGTGGAGGTGTAAGAATGTGCGTTAAAATGTCTGTCACAGATTTTATCAACATATGTACGGTATTCTCGCCTACAGTTCTATCCTTTACTAAAAAAAAGGAAGTATGTCATCCTGGAACAAAAATATACAATTCCTTCCCACAAGGACATATTTTCCAGCATGCTTGCCATCAGAAGTTGTGGGTGCTTCATCACTGGAGGTTTTTAAGAAGAGACTGGACAGTCACTTGTGCGAAATGGTAGGGTTTCCCATTCGAGCAGAAGGTTGGACTAGCAGACCGTGAAGATCCCTTCCAGCTCTATTCTGATTGAACAGGCAGCCTTCCACTCTACCTTTTGAGCTGCTCTACTATTGTGGTTAAGCATCATCTTTGGGCTCCAAGACCAAGATATTTCACATCATCTCCAGAGTGAGAGATACAAAAGCAGAAATAATCTCTCCCTTCCTTCCCCTCAACCATCCAAGGATCAAATAGCAAACTTTCCAAATGGACCCATAAATCAAATTTTCTGCTTTATCAGGGTCAACCTGATAATGTTCTTATCTCCTCTCTTTTGAATATAGAAGAACTGAATCTGCTCCAGTTCCTGTTTCGTGTTGCAAATGAGGTTAATGAATACCTTTTATAAATATGAACTGGGATCGTCTTGAATGGCAACTGGCTCTTACCATGCTATGATTCAACACAGCGCAAAGTCATGAAGTGTGTGTGTTTGTGTGAGAGGTAGCTTATACACAATGATACAGATAGTCCTTGATTTACAGCCATTCATTTAGTCACGGTTCAAAGTTATAACGGCATTAAAAAAGGTGACTTATGACCGTTTTTCACACTTACGACTGTTGCACCATTCCCATGGTCAAGTGATCAAAATTCTGACGCTTGGCAACTGACTCGTATTTATGACAGTCGCAGTGTAATCCCTTTGGTGACTTTCTGACAATGGGGAAGCCAGATTCACTTCTCAACCATGTTACTAATTTAACAACTGCAGTGATTCACTTAATAAAGTTAAATGGGGCAAAACCCATTTAACAAATGTCTCGTTTAGCAGTGCAAATTCTGGGCTCAGTTGTGGTCGTAAGTCGAGGACTAACAGCTTTTAGGACCACAGTTCAACACAGTACAAAGCCACAGTGCGTGGAGTGTGTGTGTGTGTGTGTGATATTTATAGTCCTTCTTTGGTTTAGAATGATTAACTTGACCAACCTGAGCTATCACCAGCAGAAGACCTGTCCACAAAGCAACCAATGATTTCACCTTGGAGTTTCATGTGGATATGAACGAGAAAAGGAAAAGAGGTCAAACCTGTAGGGCTTAAGAGAGGAATTCAAGAACAGGGGCCACTGATCTCTCCCCACCTATCAACACCGATTCAAATCAGTCATGAAAAGCAGGACCATTACCACAAATCGATGTTCATTTCTCCCCAACCAGGTTTCAAAAAAGACCATGATTGACAGCATCATGACCCTCCCCCTCTTTCTCTCAGCCTTGGGAAGAAGGCGGCGGCCAAGCAAACCACTTCCAAAACTTTGCCAAAAAAAAAAAAAAAACCTGCAGAAAATCTAGGCAGAAGCCAAGAATGATCAGAAGGCTCACATATTTATCTATTGTATCCTGGTTTAACAATGCATATCAGGAATGCCCAATCTTGGCCACTTTTAAGACCAGTGAACTTCAACTCCCAGCCAGTTATGCTTTGAATAGCTAAGCTATGGATCCTGAGAGTTGAAGTCCACCAATCAAAGTGGCCAACCTTGGACATCCCTGATATATTTATATCTATACATATATAGGTATACCGATTAGATAGATAGATAGACAGACAGACAAACAGACAGAAAGCTAGCTAGTTAATAATAGACAGACAGACAGCTAGATAGATTTATAGATTAGATATATACACATGGATGGTCTCTCTGTGTGTATATATGTACACACACACACATATATACATACATATACAAACATAAATATACACAATCTGTCTTGTCTATCATCTATCGATTGATTGATCTATCATCTATGTCTATCTATCATTACTTATCATCCATCCATCATCCATCTATCATCTACCTATCCCATCCATCTATTATCTATCATCTACCTATCTATCATCTACCTATCTATCTGTCTATCATCTACCTGTCTATTGTCTACCTATCATCTATCTATCTACCATCTACCTACCTACCTATCTTTCTATCATCTACCTATCATCCATCCATCTACATCATCTACCTACCTATCATCTACCTACCTGTCAATCATCTACCTATCATCCATCTGTCTATCATCTACCTACCTGTCTACCATCTACCTACATTTACCTATCATCCATCCATCCATCTATCTTTCTGTCTGTCTATCATCTACCTACCTATCTATCTATCTAAAAAAATCTGGGATATATTTTTATTCTATAAAGTATCCTAGTGGTTTCCTATTATTGTACCTCCAGGGACCTGCACCTGAACGACGGTCAAAAGTCCTGATTTAAAAACAAGAGCCACGCCATTTTGGCTGCAACACCACATCCGGCCGCCAGAGGGCAGGCCCACACACAACTTCGCGACCCCCTCTAGCGGTCGCCCGGAGAACGGCAGCCTTTTCTCCGACTCCATTCCTCCCTTCTTCATCCCATTCCTGGCCCGTTTTCCTCACGGAGGAGAGTCAAAGTGAGGAAGGAGGGGGAGGGCGGGCGGCTGAGGGAGTCGGAGCGGGCTGAAGCGGCGGGAGCCACAACTTTTACCTCAGCACAAGGAGTCCTGAGGGACGAGCCTGAGGCGTTTCCCGTCCGCGCGCGCGCGCGCTTTTGAACGCTGTGACGTCATCAGCCGCGCGCACGCGCCGGGGCTGTTGGCGCCAAGATGGCCGCGCCGCCGCGGGAAGCGTCGTGAAGGCAACATCGGAGCCTCGTCAGGCCGGAAACATGGTGAGGGAGGCCGTGGCTGGCTTGCTCGCCCGGGCCTGAGCCCTCGGGACCGGTCAAGGGGTCTCGGAAGCCAAGTCCGGCCGCCTTAAAGAAGGGAAGGAGGCTCTCGTGACCTTTAACCTTCGACCGGGCTCTGGTTTCCCTCTTTTTTTTTCTTCTCCTCCTCTTTTATTCCGCTGAAATTTCCTTTGATTCTTCCCTCAGGCTCGATCCGGGGAGAGATTCGGGTTTCGGTCCTAGCAGGAATCCAAAGCCAGGGGAAAGAAAGTCAAGCCAACTTTCCCTCATATCAATCCATGTTATCTGATTTTTATCTACATTAGGTCCGCTTGAGCAAGGGGGTTGGGCTAGAAGACCTCTTAGGGACCCTTCCATCTCTTGATATCCTGTATTGCCTCTTTCTTTTTTTCTTTTTCCTTCCTTCCTTCCTTTCTTTCCTTCCTTCCTTCCTTCCTTCCTTCTCTTTCTTTCCTTTCCTTTCCTTTCCTTTCCTTTCCTTCCTTCCTTCCTTCCTTCCTTCCTTCCTTCCTTCCTTCCTTCCTTCCTTTTTTCACTTTCTATAAGTCAGCTTGCTGGCTGGGGAATTCTGGGAGTTGGAAGTCCACAGGTCTTAAAAAGTTGCCAAGTTTCTTGTCTTCTTCAAAAAAAAATTAAATTACAGGTCACCCTCGACTTACGACCACAATTGAGCCCAAAAATTCTGTCGTTAAGTGAGACATTTGTCCAGTGGGTTTTGCCCCCATTTTTACCATCTTGCTTGCCCCCAGTTGTTAAGTGAATTCACTGCAGTTAATAACCTGGTTGTTAAGTGAATCTGGCTTCCCCATTGACTTTGCTTGTTTAAGGACCCAAAAGGGGAATCGTATGACCTCGGGACGCTGCAACCGTCATAAATATGAATCGATTATCAAGCATTTGAATTTTGATCACATGATCATGGGGATGCTAGAATGGTCGTAAGTGTGTAAAACGGTCATAAGTCACACTTTTCAGTGCTGTTGTTACTTTGAATGGTCACTAAATGAACTGTTATAAATTGAGGGCTGCCTATAAATTAGGATATTCCCTCCCAAAGTGATACCTTTTCTTTCTACATATATATATTGTGTTTTTCTATCGAGGCACCTGGTCTAACCCAACATGTGGGAGGGAGCATTCTGCTTCCCTTTCGTATTTGGTGTGTGTATGTGTATATATGTATGTGTATGTGTGTCTGTGTGCCCCATTCTCCTTATTTATAAGGATACTGTATATCAGTGCTGTTCTCATTGCCTGCTAAAATTGCACAAACCCAGGCCAAATATTTTGTATTGCAAATCAGAGCTTGTTGGAATTTCTTGCGTGGACAATTTCAACCATTTGGATTTATTTAATGGGTGCAAATTGGAAGCATTTGCAGTATGAAGAGCTAAATTTTGCCTACATCTAGCTTTTATACACTTTGCTTTTATAGCAACGTGTAAGGAATGATTCATTGTCTCCCTTGTCCTATTAATTCTAAAATAACTTAGCCCAACAGTTTAGGATGAGAGCAGTTGTCCTCAATAGTCCGTGTTGTCTTCAGTTGATGTTCAGTTTAATGGATAAAAAGACATCCTCCCTTCATAGAATGGGGTGGAAATGATCACAAATGCCTTTAAATTTCAAATGCGTACAAATTTGTGTTTAGAAGTGGCTTGTTTGTTGCTTTTAAGATGTTAGCATGAGAAATGTTGCAAACGTGGCTTGTCAAACCTTGTTTTTCTCTAGTTAGTCTCCATGCATCAGTTAACAATAATTGTCTGGGTTCAGAAGGCTATAGGGCAAGGATACAGACTGTTATCAGTACCGATAGATTAGACTTTGAATTGCATACATTTTTAGGAGCAAGCCTTTGTGAACCCAGTAGGAATGACTTTCTTGGTAAACATGGCTCTTATCATTTTTGCAGATACAATAATTGTATGCTGTATTAAATATAGATAGTGGTTTCACAACCTTTGTCTCTTCTGTTAAGAAGATAGCAACCTTCAAGACAGGCTGATAGTCTAAAATTTTAGATTTTTATGATGTTTTGATATTCTAAAATCTCCATTTGATACATTTTGTGCAATTTTGTGCAATTTTATATAATTAGGTGAAAAAGGATGCTCATGATGTCAGCTACCTCTCTAATATAGTAGCAAACTGAGAACAGGATCAAAGTAATGGTTCTGCTATGTTAGTGGCCATTTTATGTAGTACAGATCACACAGCATCATTATGCCTCTTTTGCATCTGGAAAAGATTAAACTGCAATATAACATGCATTTTTATCTATCTTTTAAAAAAATCAACCATGTAGGAAAGTGGATATTTTCTCATTGCTTTGGAATAATTATAGTTTATCTGATACCTACTTCAATTTACAGTACTTAATTTTTTTCTGTTGAGTAATATTTGGAAAGGGCTTCTTTCCTCTTATCAACATTTAGCTTTTCTCTCTGTATTTGTAAATACAGATGTGTGCCAAAGCACACACTTTCTGTCTTCACTGGTGCACATTTCTTTAATCTTGTCTTTGCGCTCTGATAAAATTGGTAAAATCAGGAGGAAAACATTTTCGTTTCTAATGTGGGAGAAGAAAGACATCAGACAGTTTATTTTTTTCTTGCACCATTATTTTTTACCTTTGCTTTCTAAAAAGAGCATGCATGCTGTGTTTATATATAAAAAAAGAAATTGCAAAAGCATTTCTCAAACTTTGACAGTTTCATCCAGGGCTAAATGACCATCTGCATAAGATGCAAAATATATAATTGGTTATGAGAATGCCAATAATAAAATAATCTCTTTGTAGGATAATATAGTATAAGGTAAATAAATATGATTGATTTTTTTATTATCAGCTCAAAAGCATGTAGTTACCATAAAATGCAGTGGATAGCTAGGCACTTTAACTGAGTGGCATCAGATGCATGAATCATGTTTAAGCACTTTAATATGTACATATTGATTTGGAAGTATTAGAATTATTATTCTGCTTTTGAAGTAGAATGATAACTAAGGAGATTTTGACATAGCATTCACAGTTTGCAGAAGCCATGGAGAATAAAAATATTAACAGATTATACTTCACGTCGTAGGTTACACCTTTGGAAATGCATATATTTGTGTTTCCATGCAACTCTTTCCATGTCCAGAAATTTTTCACAAGGAGCTGTTGTAATACGTCTTCCTAATTATTTGCTTTCTGTGTGAATTAATGAGTCTGTCTTTGAACCTATGTCCTCAATTATAAACTGAAATAGTACTGACTGTTTTACTGTTTGATTAGGTGTTTGTCTGTATAGCCCAGTCCTAATTTTGTTGAATCCAATGGAATAATTCCTCAGCAAACAAATTAGTTGGAAATAACTAATAAGTTTCAGTAATTTTTTGTTATTAATTTTCTCAAAATGCAGAAATACAAAAGAAAAAATATAATTATTATTATACGTCCAAAACAAAAAGTCTCAAAATATGTGCTGTTAATTAAACATAAAATACTCTTTCTAATTAACAGAAAAAAGATTATACAATAATTAATACCTTTAAAGATTTAATTCATTTGTTAAGCTTATTAAATCTGGATTGTGTAGTAATGCTTTATGCCAGGGATGTCAAACTCAATTTCAATGAGGGTTTGACCTCTATGCTATGCTGGAGAATTCTGGGAGTTGAAGTCCACAAGTGTTAAAGCTGCCAAGTTTGAAGACCTCTGTTATAAGACATCTAATATCCTTTCTTTTTTACACATTTCTGGGTGGTCCAATAGATCTGAAATTTATTTTTGATGAACTCACTCAGAAATCATCGGAAGCGTATGTTTGCATTTTTTTAATATATGGACCCATTGATTTTTCCAGAACTCAATATTGTTCCAATTCTTCCTTCTATAAATCAAATATAACGGATGGTAAATTTAATTTCACCTTGTAATACTTCATAAAATTGCATTCTTGGATTTTGTTAAAGTGTAGATAGACTCTCAGAGGTTCTACACCATCTAGCCATACTGCGTACAGTTAATACATACTTCAATTATATCAGTTTCTTTCAAGCTGATGTAAGTCAAACACAAAAGTAATCTTTTTTTAAGTGCTGATTAAAATCTGTGCCTTTAATGTACTAATTTCTTAGCCTAGGCATTCCAAAGGAACATCTTCCCTGCTATTTTCAAATTTAAATTATAAAAAGGATCGATTTGCATTATGTAGGGTCAAAAATATAATTGTTTAGCAATTCATTACTAAGTGTGGCTAACAGTTTCCAAAGCAAGTAACAATGATCCCCAATTTAATATATTTGGCTTTTAAAAATTGCCAAGATTTCAAAGTGTTATATAGTTGCTCTTCAAACAGGCCCAAATAAGAGAGAAATCACATCTTACTTCCAAAAAAATGAAAGTATTAAAATGAAACCTCAATGGTTTCTGATAGTTTAAAGCTGCCATCCTCACAGGCTAAACACAATTTATTTAGCCGGTTTTTAACCTGCTATTTAAAAAAATCTCATTAAATCCTACTTAATATGTACATTCGTCTTGATCCAAAACTTGTTTTAATAGCAATCTTGTTCCAAAGACTGATTGGAAGTTTAACTATCAAATTATACCTGTTGAAATTGCACCTATATGAACATAATGGCTTACCTAGTGTGTCTCCCACCCCAGATAACTTATTTAGAGTAAAGGGCTAAAAGTATCCTAAGTACTGATTAAATTGCAGGCCATGTTTCTAAGAGAAATTGATTCAAGGATTTGCAGTATATAGCTGAGTGTTAAGACTGTTTAAATTTGCTAGCAAATTATAGTGTTCTCAATAAATTGTCCAATTCATAAAACAGCAGGCATTTATGCTTCGCGATAGGACTTGTATGCCAAATGTATGTCCTGAAATTTTGCAGAACAAAAGATCGACTTTGATGTTGCTTTATGGATTCTTTTACCAGGATATCCGTAAATTCTTTGGAGTTGTAACTCCAGGAAAGAAACCAGAATGTGGCATTGCGAGAAAGGAGAAACCCCAGAATAAAGAGAGGAATTCAGGGGGGACATCGACGCTGAAAGAAATCAAGGTGAGTATATAATGTTTAGTTTAAAATATTTCAGAGTTTGATGATGGCTTTATGATCTTTTTGCAGTGGTATCTTTTTCTGGAGTGTTTTAATTTGCCAAGACTTTCCCTGATGATCAGCTGGATCATTTTATACTTCAGAGATATTATGCTTCATGTGTTGCTGTCCTTAAATTTATATTTTGTGTTGCTTTTACTAGTAAGCCAACTAAGGTCTCCTTGTGAGATTGGCACAAATCAAATAAATGATTTGTGGGTTAGTGGAGGATCAATCAATCACAATAGTGTTGGAAGGGACGTTAGAGGCCTTTTAGTCCAACCCCCTGCTCAAGGAGACCCTAAGCCATTTCAGACAGGTGGCTGTTTGGTCTTTTTTTGAAAGCCTCCAGTGATGTAGTCTGCAAAGTCAGTGATGAAGTCTGCCAAGCAGGAGACTAAGCCCCCAGACCCAAAAGCAGTGCCAACTCCAAGGGGCTGGAACGAGAGCTCCTCTGATTGAGAAGAAAGTGCTCCCTGATCCGGCCGGGCTGGAGCATCCAGTGAAGCAACCTTGCTCCCCATATCCAGGGAGAATCCGGTCATAGCACCCCCCCACCCCATGTTTGGGTGGAGGATGTGACCAGGACCAGGGGCTGGGAAACCTCCTATGGGCCCAGCATGTCCCCCAACGGGGGGGGGGGGGTTTGTCTCTCACACACACATTGGGGGACACAGAATGGAACGGTAGGCACTGGAATTGAGGGGTGGTCGCTTGGTGTTTAGGAGGAGTCCAAGACCTCCCGAAGAGGCAAGCCTAACTCTCTTTATTACGAATACTTCATTTAGGATGATGAAAATGGGTCCCGTATAAGGTAAGTTTGTTGATTCATGCAGCATTGCATAAATGAGTTAATATCGACAGAATTGTTCTGATGAATAAGAAAGCCACTTTCCGTAGGTGAAAAGTTCCCCTCGCGAAGAGGATTTCAAGCAAAAACCGGCAAACAAGAAAAAGAGGATAATCTATGATTCAGGTAAGCCTTATAACTAAACGCCCCAGGTTTATTTTACGTCGCTACAATGATTTCTGATTGCCAGGGTTTTCCTGGAAAGACAACTGGAAAATCTCCATAGGTTTTTCCAATAGTTTCCATTCATAAATTGCATAAAATGTGTATCTAGAATTAACGCATCCCTGGATTCACAACAAAATTACCGTAATTTTCGGAGTATAAGACACACTTTTTTCCCTCCTAAAAGAGGGTGAAAATTTGGATGCATCTTATACTCCAAATGTAACCCCACCCACCCACTGGCCCCCACCCTTCGGCCTCCGAGCGTCCTCTTCCTGGCTGCAGAGATTGCCACCGACAATGGCTTGTGTTTTTGGGCTCCGCACTTTGCGTTTTCAGCCTCCAAACACTCCGTTCGAGAGCCCTTCAAGGCTGCAGTGATCGCCAAAGCACATCGCCACCCGAAAACGCGACGCGTTTGGAGGCTGAAAACGCAACGCTATTTCTATTTACCTTGTATTTTGTATTTTATAATTCTTTATAATAAAAAATATTGACGGATAATCTAGGCTAGGTAGGGAATTTCTGGAAGTTCAAGTCCAGATACCTTAAATTTGCCAAGGTTTAGACCAACGCCGGTTTAAATCTAAAGTGACCTGGAAGGGTTTGTCTCAGAGTGTTTTTGCTTGTGGATGGATCCATAAAAAAATAACGCTGTTTAATTCAGATTCCGAAGAGGAGGTACCATTAATCAAAAAATCTAAGCCGCCAGAGAGAAAGCTCCCTTCAAAACCTGCCAAGCTGCTAAAGGCGGATCCTGTGGTTTATGTTTCAGAAACAGGTAATCCACCATAAGATCTACTATTGTGTGAGATTTACGTTCCACTGGAAATATATTTTTTGGGGTTGTTTAAATGGAAATCATATTCTAAAATGATGGTTGAGGAAATCACATTTGCGGTATAATTACAAAGTTGGTGCAGAAATGGATTTGTGTTTGATGAAGAAGTTGGACTTAGCTTGACTTATTATTTATCATCCTTACATGTAACTGTTGACGTTGATTTTTTTAAAAAAATGGTTGCTTTACCAACCATTCATTCAGGGACTGTTTGAAATTACAGGTAGTCCTCGACTTACAACAGTTCATTTAGTGACCGTTTAAAGTTACAACGGCACTGAAGTGACTTATGACCGTTTTTCATACGTACGACCGTTGCACACTTACGAACATGGTCACATGATCGAAATTCAGATGCTTGTCAACTGACTCATATTTATGACGGTTGCCGTGTTCCCAAGGTCATGCGATCCCCTTTTGCGACTTTCTGACCAGCTAAGTCAATGCAGGGAGTGTGTGTGTGTGTGTCAGATTCACTTAACAGCCAAGTTACAAATGCAACGATTCACTTAACAACTGTGGCAAGAAAAGTTGTAAAACAGAGCAAACTCAAGTACGTAACAAATGTTTCACTTAGCAACATCAGTTTTCCGCTCAGTTGTGATTGTAACTCAAGGACTACCTGTCTTAACGGTGCTGAAAAGTAAATTTACAACCGGTCCTTGAACTTGTGGCTTTTATAGTATCCAGGCAGTCACGTGATTGCAATTCGTGCACTGCAGAGCGCATTTAACGACGGTCGCAACGTTTGGCGGCCCCTGTCGTCGCATTTGCAACCTTCACAGCTGCTTTTGAGAAGCAGCTGTGAAGCCAGCAAAAAGTTGCAAGCCACAACCCTTCGGTATCGCACTGAATGACCATCGGGTGATTGGCTTAACAACCACAGCTGGAACTGTGGGAAGTCCTCGTGGTTAAACGACATTTCATTTTACAGTCATTGTCATTTAGTGACATCTTGCATCTTGCCCGCGTGGGCTTCACCAGCTCTACTAGAAGGATTGTACAGAAAGTTTAAGATGAACCTCACCAGATGGCCCTTTTGTGCCTTCAAAGGGTGCATGGGGACTTTTGCAACGACTCTGTTGTGTTCCTTGCCGATTATGAAATCCAGGAGGGCGAAGGTGCAGGATGAGGTTGCCTCCAAGCGGCCTCCGCTCCCTTGCAAATCTCAGCAAACTTTGAGTGCCTTTTCTCTGTGATGGCCTACTCAACCTTTGCAATCCCTTGCATTCCAAGATAAAAAAACCTACTTGGTCTGATGACTCCGAAGAACATATTGTTCCCAAGGGGATTTTAATCTTAATGATGATCAAAGGGCCACCTATCTCCCTTAGATAAAAGGCGGAAAGTTACGGTTACATTGTTTTTTTTTTTTAATCAGCTCTATGATTTCTTTTGCCTTAACTGTAAGCAGCCTTGAGGTCTTGGGAAGTGGATTTCTACATATACACAAAAACTTTGGTCGAGGCCACTTGTGAAGTCAAAAATGCATTTTATGCCTAGCGATAAGAATAAATGACCTGTCAGTTAAAACAGCTTCATTTGACAGACAGGCTGATTACGCCTCTTGGTCCCTCAGCAAATGTTTTGAAAAAATTATCAACTTTATTTTGCAAACTGGCTGCCTGCTACCAGTCATGGATGGGTAGCCCACGGTCATAAGTGTGGAAAACGGTCATAAGTCACTTTTTCCAGGGCCGTTTTAACTTTGTGCGGTCCCTAAACAAACTGCTGTAAGTCGAGGACTACCTGTACAATTTATGACTTGACCTAACTGAAATAAACTAATCAAGGAGAGAAGCAACCTAGGACTAAGGAGAAATTTCCTGACAGTTAAGAACAATTAACCAGTGGAACTACTTGCCTCCAGAAGTTGTGAATGCTCCAACACTGGACGTTTTTAAGAAGAGATTGGATAACCATTTGTCTGAAGTGGTGTAGGGTTTCCTGCCTGAGCAGGGGGTTGGACTAGAAGACCTCCCAGGTCCCTTCCAACTCTGTTATTCTGTTCTGAATCTATTCCAGGACATAATAATAGCTGATCGGAAGGACTTGTCTCCCATTGTTTATTTTCACACAACATGCTGAATCGAAAACAAGTTCAGGGCTTACAGTGGAGATATTCTAAATCTTCAAGAGTTTCCTAGTGTTGCTTCTATTCTTAATTTCCAAGGAACGTGAGGACCCAGTTTGTGGGAGCAATAAGCTGGCTTTGTAAAAAATATACAAAAGTATGAAGGCTATTGCTTAATGCATTGTAAGCCACCCTGAGTATCCGGAGAAGGGCGGCATATAAAAATAAATAAAAATAATAATAAAAAAATTCCTATAACAATATTTCAATACATTTCCTTGCCACAAATCAATTTATTTCAGTAAACTAGGCTTCCGTTCAAAGATTTGAGACATCAAGAAATTGATCCCTGTAAGACAGGGGTGTCAAACTCTAGGCCCGCGGGGACAGATCCAGCTCGCGGGGTGCTTAAATCTGGCCTTGGAAACAGTGAAGGACTGGCCCAAGGTGCACCCGGCTGCGATCGCCTCCTGCAACCCTCTGCCAGTGAAAATGGAGTGTGCATGACCCTCCCGAACACCGTTTACACTGGCAGAATGCTCGGGCCACCACAGCCCCCCCCGACACGAGTGACGTCGAACTGACCACGCCCACCCAGCCCCCCAAGGACAAACACAACCCTGATGTGGCCTTCAATGAAATCAAGTTTGACACCCCTGCTGTAAGATGTTCAGAAGCGGCTAAGTAGTTTGGAAAGAGGTAGGCAAAATACACACACGCATACATACCCTGTTTTCCCCAAAATAAGACCTCCTCTGATAATAAGCCCAATTGGGCTTTTGAGCACATGGCAATAAGGCCATAATGCTTATTTCAGGGTTCAAAAAAAATATAAGACAGGGTCTTATTTTCGGGGAAACATGGTAGATATAGATGATAGATAAATAGTAGGATGGATGGATGGATGGATGGATGGATGGATGGATAGATAGATGATAGATAGATAACTGGTAGATAGATGATAGATAATAGATAGATACGGTAGGTAGGTAGGTAGCTAGGTAGATAGATAGATAGAGATAGAGATAAATAGATTAGATAGAGAAAGAAAGAAAGATGGATAGATAGATAGATAGATTATTTATTTATTTATTTATTTATTTATTTATTTATTTATTTATTTA